AACATCGTGCGGCTGCTGGGGGTGTGCGGGGGGCCCGGCCCCCTCTGCATCGTCACCGAGTACATGGAGCACGGAGACCTGCACCAGTTCCTGGGCGGGCCCCGAGGCCACGCCCTCAGGTGGGACACGCCCTCATCCCGACACGCCCGCTGGAGCCACGCCCAATCGAGCCGCACCCACCCCGTGTCATTTCCCATTAGTGTTTATGGGGTGCTGGCCCTTTAAGAGAGGCCACTCCCACTCTGAGCCATGCCCATCATCCAGGACATGACCCCAAACAAGCCACGCCCACTCATGACACGCCCCTTCTGGCCACACCCACCCTGTATAATTTTAATTAATATTTATAGGGTGCTGGCCCTTTAAGAGAGGCCCCTCCCACTGTGAGCCATGTGCATAATTTAAGACACGCCCCCAAACAAGCCACGCCCACTCCAGACACGCCCCTTCGAGCCACACCCACCTCATCTTTTTTTCAATTAGTATTTCTGGGGTGCTGGCCCTTTAAGACAAGCCACTCCCACTGTGAGCCGTGTGCATCATTCAGGACACGCCCACATCCTGACACACCCACACGAGCCACGCCCACTCGAGCCACACCCACCCTCTATCATTTTAATTAATATTTATAGGGAGCTGGCCCTTTAAGAGGCCACGCCCTCTCTGATCCATGTCAATCATCCAGGACACGCCCCCAAACAAGCCACGCCCACCTTATTATTATTTATGGGGTGCTTGCCCTTTAAGAGAGGCCACGCCCACCGTGATCCGTGGGATTTTTTGGGGGGGAAAAAATTCATTTTTTCGGGAAAAAAGACAAACGTTGAAAAAAAAGGGATTTTTGGGGGGAAAAAAGAGAAATTTTGGGGAAAAAGGGAAAATTTGGGGGGAAAAAAATTGAATTTTTTGGGGAAAAAATTGAATTTTTGGGGGAAAAATGGGAATTTTTGGGGAAAAAATGGGAATTTGGGGGGAAAAAATGGAATTGTTTGGGAAAAAAGTGGTTTTTTTGGCATAAAAGACAAATAATTGTAGGAAAAAGGGGATTTCTGGGGGAAAAAGGGATTTTTTTGGGGGAAAAAATGAATTTTTTGGGGAAAAATGGGATTTTTTTAGGAAAAAAATTGATTTTTCCGTGAAAAAACACAAATAAACATAGGAAAAAAGGGATTTTTGGGGAAAAAAAGGGATTTTTGGGGAAAAAAGGGATTTTTTTTTCCGTGAAAAAACACAAATAAACATAGGAAAAAAGGGATTTTTGGGGAAAAAAAGGGATTTTTGGGGAAAAAAGGGATTTTTTCCAGGAAAATGGGATTTTTTTGGGAAAAAAAGGGATTTTTTAGGAAAAAAGGAATTTTTGGGGGAAAAAAGGGATTTTTTTTTTAGGAAAAAAGGAATTTTTTGGGAAAAAAGACAAATAAGTGTAAAGAAAAAGGGATTTTTTGGGAAAAAAAGGGATTTTTTTGGAAAAAAGGGATTTTTTTCAGGAAAATGGGATTTTTTTTAGAAAAAAAAAGGAATTTTTTGGGGAAAAAAGACAAATAAGTGTAGAAAAAAGGATATTTTTTTCAGGAAAATGGGATTTTTTTAGGAAAAAATGTATTTTTTTGCAAAAAAAGACAAATAAGCATAGGAAAAAAAGGGATTTTTTTTCAGGAAAATGGGATTTTTTTAGGAAAAAACGTGATTTTTTGGGGAAAAAAGACGAATAAGTGTAGAAAAAAGGGATTTTTTTGGAAAAAAGGGATTTTTTTTCAGGAAAATGGGATTTTTTTAGGAAAAAATGGATTTTTCCGGAAAAAAGACAAATAAGCATAGGAAAAAACGGGATTTTTTCTGTAAAAAAAAGGATTTTTTGCGGAAAAAATACAAATAAGCATAAAAAAAAGCGGATTTGCTTTGGAAAAAAACGTGATTTTTTTACAGGGAAAAAAATCTAATTTTTCCACAAAAAAAACCCCAAAAATTCGATTTTTTTCGCCAAAAAAAAAAGCCGATTTTGGGCCGAAAAAAGAAAAATACGGATTTGAACGGGTTAAAATTTCCAGCCTGCCCACGCTGCTGCGGCTGGGAGCACAAATCGCCTCCGGAATGCGATTCCTGGCCGGGCTGAACTTCGTGCACCGGGATTTGGCCACCCGGAATTGCCTGGTGGGCGACGGCTTCACCGTCAAGGTGGCCGATTTCGGCATGAGCCGGAACCTCTACGCCGCCGATTATTACCGGGTGAGGGGCCGGGCGCTGCTGCCCATCCGCTGGATGGCCTGGGAGTGCATCCTGATGGTGAGAAAAATGGGGATTTTGGGAAAAAATGGGAAAAAATGGGAATTTTGGGGGAAAAAATGGGATTTTTTTGGAAAAAATTGGGATTTTGGGGTAAAAAATGGGATTTTTGGGGGGTTTGGGATGGGATGTGATGGTTCCCATCTGCTGGATGGCCTGGGAGTGCATCCTGATGGTGAGGATTGGGGGAAAAATGGGATATTTTGGGAAAAAGTTGGGAAAAAATGGGAATTTTTGGGAAAAAATGGGAAAAAAAGAGAAAAAATGGGATTTTTTGGGGAAAAATTGAGATTTTTGGGGGGTTTTGGATGGGATGTGCTGGTGCCCATCTGCTGGATGGCCTGGGAGTGCATCCTGATGGTGAGAAAAATGGGATATTTTGGGAAAAAATGGGGAAAAATGGGAATTTTGGGGAAAAAATGGGAAAAAAATGAGAAAAAATGGGATTTTTTTTGGGAAAAATTGGGATTTTGGGGGGTTTTGGGTGGGGTGTTCTCATCCTCATCTGCTGGATGGCCTGGGAGTGCATCCTGATGGTGAGAAAAACGGGAATTTTGGGAAAAAATTGGAAAAAATGGGATTTTTTGGGGAAAAAATGGGAAAAAATTTGGATTTTTGGGGTAAAAAATTGGGATTTTGGGGGGTTTTGGGTGGGGTGTTCTTGTCCCCATCCGCTGGATGGCCTGGGAGTGCATCCTGATGGTGAGAAAAATGGGGATTTTGGGAAAAAATGGGGAAAAATGGGAATTTGGGGAAAAAATGGGGAAAAAATTGGATTTTTTGGGGAAAAAATGGGATCTTGCGGGGTTTTGGGTGGGGTGTTCTTGTCCCCATCTGCTGGATGGCCTGGGAGTGCATCCTGATGGTGAGAAAAATGGGGATTTTGGGAAAAAATGGGGAAAAATGGGATTTTTTGGGGAAAAAATGGGAAAAAAATTGGATTTTTGGGGTAAAAAATTGGGATTTTGGGGGGTTTTGGGTGGGGTGTTCTCATCCTCATCTGATGGATGGCCTGGGAGTGCATCCTGATGGTGAGAAAAATGGGGATTTTGGGAAAAAATGGGGAAAAATGGGAATTTTTGGGAAAAAATGGGAAAAAAAGAGAAAAAATGGGATTTTTTGGGGAAAAATTGAGATTTTTGGGGGGTTTGGGATGGGATGTGATGGTTCCCATCCGCTGGATGGCCTGGGAGTGCATCCTGATGGTGAGGATTGGGGGAAAAATGGGATATTTTGGGAAAAAATGGGAAATTTTGGGAAAAAAATGGGATTTTTGGGAAAAAAATGGGATTTTTTGGGATAAAAAATGGGATTTTGAGGGGTTTTGGGTGGGGTGTTCTCATCCTCATCTGATGGATGGCCTGGGAGTGCATCCTGATGGTGAGAAAAATGGGGATTTTGGGAAAAAATGGGGAAAAATCGGGATTTTGGGGAAAAAAATGGGAAAAAAATGAGAAAAAATGGGATTTTTTTGGGAAAAATTGGGATTTTTGGGGGGTTTGGGATGGGATGTGATGGTTCCCATCCGCTGGATGGCCTGGGAGTGCATCCTGATGGTGAGGATTGGGGGAAAAATGGGATATTTTGGGAAAAAGTTGGGAAAAAATGGGAATTTTGGGGGAAAAATGGGATTTTTTGGGATAAAAAATGGGATTTTGGGGGGTTTTGGGTGGGGTGTTCTTGTCCCCATCTGCTGGATGGCCTGGGAGTGCATCCTGATGGTGAGAAAAACGGGAATTTTGGGAAAAAGTTGGGAAAAAATGGGAATTTTTGGGAAAAAATGGGATTTTTTTTGGAAAAAAATGGGATTTTTTTGGGAAAAAATGGGATTTTGGGGGGTTTTGGGTGGGGTGTTCTTGTCCCCATCTGCTGGATGGCCTGGGAGTGCATCCTGATGGTGAGAAAAACGGGAATTTTGGGAAAAAGTTGGGAAAAAATGGGAATTTTTGGGAAAAAATGGGAAAAAAATGAGAAAAAATGGGATTTTTTTGGGAAAAAATTGGGATTTTGGGGGGTTTTGGATGGGATGTGCTGGTTCCCATCCGCTGGATGGCCTGGGAGTGCATCCTGATGGTGAGGATTGGGGGAAAAATGGGATATTTTGGGAAAAAGTTGGGAAAAAATGGGAATTTAAAATGGGATTTTTGGGAAAAAAATGGGATTTTTTGGGATAAAAAATGGGATTTTGGGGGGTTTTGGGTGGGGTGTTCTCATCCTCATCTGATGGATGGCCTGGGAGTGCATCCTGATGGTGAGAAAAATGGGGATTTTGGGAAAAAATGGGGAAAAATCGGGATTTTGGGGAAAAAATGAAAAAAAAATGGGATTTTTGGGGTAAAAAAATGGGATTTTGGGGGGTTTTGGGTGGGGTGTTCTTGTCCCCATCTGCTGGATGGCCTGGGAGTGCATCCTGATGGTGAGAAAAATGGGGATTTTGGGAAAAAATGGGGAAAAATGGGAATTTTTGGGAAAAAATGGGAAAAAAATGAGAAAAAATGGGATTTTTTTGGGAAAAAATTGGGATTTTGGGGGGTTTTGGATGGGATGTGCTGGTTCCCATCCGCTGGATGGCCTGGGAGTGCATCCTGATGGTGAGGATTGGGGGAAAAATGGGATATTTTGGGAAAAAATGGGAAATTTTGGGAAAAAAATGGGATTTTTGGGAAAAAAATGGGATTTTTTGGGGTAAAAATGGGATTTTGGGGGGTTTTGGGTGGGGTGTTCTCATCCTCATCTGCTGGATGGCCTGGGATTGCATCCTGATGGTGAGAAAAATGGGGATTTTGGGAAAAAATGGGGAATTTTGGGATTTTTTGGGAAAAAATGGGAAAAAAATTGGATTTTTGGGGTAAAAATTGGGATTTTTGGGGGGTTTGGGATGGGATGTGATGGTTCCCATCCGCTGGATGGCCTGGGAGTGCATCCTGATGGCGAGGATTGGGGGAAAAATGGGATATTTTGGGAAAAAGTTGAGAAAAAATAGGAATTTTGGAGGAAAAAAACCAACCAAAAACCCCCAAAAAAGCCCAAAAAACGCCCAAATCTCATCCCAAATCCCGGAATTTTGACTCCCGGAATTCCGGAATTTTGGGATTTTGGGAATTTGGGGATCCCCAGGGCACGTTCAGCCCGGCCAGCGACGCCTGGGCCTTTGGGGTGACGCTCTGGGAGGCGCCAAAAACCCCCAAACGACCCCAAAAAAAGCCCAAATCTCATCCCAAAAATGCCAAATTTCGAACTCCCGGAATTCCCAGAATTCCCAAATTTGGGGATTTTGGGAATTTTGGGATCTCTGGGCACGTTCAGCGACGCCTGGGCCTTCGGGGTGACGCTCTGGGAGGCGCCAAAAACCCCCAAACGACCCCAAAAAAACCCCAAAAAACGCCAAAATCTCATCCCAAATCCGGGAATTTTGACTCCCGGAATTCCGGAATTTTGGGATTTTGGGAATTTTGGGATCCCCAGGGCACGTTCAGCCCGGCCAGCGACGCCTGGGCCTTCGGGGTGACGCTCTGGGAGGCGCCAAAAACCCCCCCAAACGACCCCAAAAAAACCCCAAAAAACGCCCAAATCTCATCCCAAATCCCGGAATTTTGACTCCCGGAATTCCGGAATTTTGGGATTTTGGGAATTTTGGGATCCCCAGGGCACGTTCAGCCCGGCCAGCGACGCCTGGGCCTTCGGGGTGACGCTCTGGGAGGCGCCAAAAACCCCCAAACGACCCCAAAAAAAGCCCAAATCTCATCCCAAAAATGCCAAATTTTGAACTCCCGGGATTCCCAGAATTCCTGAATTTTGGGATTTTGGGAATTTTGGGATCTCTGGGCACGTTCAGCGACGCCTGGGCCTTCGGGGTGACGCTCTGGGAGGCGCCAAAAACCCCCCAGAAAACCCCAAAAAACCCCCAAAAAACGCCAAAATCTCATCCCAAATCCCGGAATTTTGACTCCCGGAATTCCGGAATTTTGGGATTTTGGGAATTTTGGGATCCCCAGGGCACGTTCAGCCCGGCCAGCGACGCCTGGGCCTTCGGGGTGACGCTCTGGGAGGTGCTGACGCGCTGCCGGGAGCAGCCCTACGGGGCCCTGAGCGACGAGCAGGTGATCGCCAACGCCGGGCACCACTTCAGGAACCGTGGGCAGCA